ATTTTTGTGTATATATATATATATATATATATATATATATATATATCCTATTTTCATATTTATTTTTAAATTAAGTTTTATTGAAGAAATAAAAGAGAGAACTGCATGTGTTATTAAATATTTCAGTTTATTTTTTTTCCATTTGAAACTCACAAACGCTAGCTGTCAAGCGATTATTATTCAGTGAACTGTGTATTTACAATTCTTTTATTATATAAATATACAGAAAATATATAGAAATGTGAGTGGTAAAAGGACAAGCTCACAAACAGTAGTGCATTTAAGGTGCCCATTATATCGGATATTTACACAAAGTTTAATATCCAGACAGTATCTGAATGCGCTTTAGCTGATTTTCATTTGCACTTTTATATCGTTGTGTCTCCAGTGTGCTTTTATAGACTCAACGCCACACAGATGTTAGAAAGTGTTCTTTTTTCTGTGATTGTTTGGTCATGTGGTCATCTTGTTTGGGAAAACAGGTCCATGGCATCCATACTCATGGATATTGTTCAACAAGAAATGTTTTAGTCACACATGCATGCTGGAAATCATCTGATCTCCCACATCCAGAAGATCACTGATTGGACTGAAATCTGGGGAAAGTGCAGACGGTTGGGGCAAACTCTTCAAAGATTTTTGTTGATGTAAATCTTGCCATCGCTGTCAAAGGATAAAACCGGCTGATACCCACTGTTTAAATGTCTGTTTAAATGTTTCTGCAAATAAATGTCATAAATATGAATTAAATAAGGATATTTGTAATTATACTATTTGAATGACAGTGACCAATTCCAAATCTCATACTTTAGCAATTACACACTGGAATTATAAAAATGCTAACTTCTTTCTCAAAAATGTTGCTTTAAGACAAACATCTGGCTTTGACTGTTTTTGTAAATATAGCTTGTAAATATATTTCTTGACATTTGAAGATGTTTTGGAGTCGGTTTACACTAGCATTCAAAAGTTTCACATGTAAATTTAACTGAAGTGATGGATGTTGAAGATGAAGTTGTGCATAAATGTACAGTAATTCAAAAATAATAGTGATTTTCAACATTAGTGAAGCATTGGCTCTCTTTAATTCCACCTTACTGGAATTAATATCAAACACATTAAAGTGTGTATAAATCCAAATGTTCGAACGCTTGTGTAATTGCTGCAGACATTCCCATCATCCTACAGCTGATGAAACCACTTGAATGAGAAATAAGAGCAGAAAAAAAGATGTAAACATATGCTTACCTTGTACCAAATATGGATTGCAGTACCAATAACTAGTACTATGAATACTCCTGTCACCCACACCAGTCTGAAGTATGGTTTTGTTAGTCCTTAAATATAAAATAAATAAATAAATAAAAACACTTAATAAATAAATAAATAAATAAAACACAATAATACACAGAAAAAGCAATATAAGGTTAAAACAACTTATGTACAACTTAACTCACATTTCTAATAATAACAAGTTATTAATTCGTTAGGTCCCCGGTTATTATCAATAACAAAATAAAATTGTTAATTGGAAATAAAGCTGAATAAAAATAAATACAGTGCCTTGTGAAAGTATTCATACCCCTTCATTTTTTTCCACGTTTTGTTATGTTGCAGCCTTGTGTTAAACTGCTTTAAATTACTTTTTTTCCACATCAATCTACACTCCATACACCATACTGACAAAGCAAAAACAGAATTGTCACAACTTCGTAAATGTATTAAAAATAAAAAAAAACTGGAAAAAGTACATTGCATAAGTATTCATACCCTTAACTGAATATTTAGCTGAAGCACCTTTACAGTCTCAAGAGTTTTCTGTTTAATGCGACAAGCTTTGCTCATCAGCATTTGGCAATTATCTGCCATTCTTCTCCTCACCTCTTCACCTCTCAAGCTCTGTCAGGTTGGATGGGGGCAGATGCACATTTTCAGGTTTCTCCAGAAATATCTGATTGGGTTCAAGCCCAGGCTCTGGCTGGGCCACTCAAGCACATTCACAGAGTTGTCTATAAGCCTCTCTTGCTGTTTCATCAGACCAGAGAATCTTGTTTCTCAGAGTCTGAGGGTCCTTTAGGTCCTTTTTTCAAATTCCAAGTGTGTTTTTATGTGTCTTCACTGAGGTGAAGATTGAGTCTGGCCACACCGACATAAAGCCCAGATCGGTGGAGTGTTGCAACGATGTTTGTCCTTCTCTAGGTTTCTCCCATCTGCATATATGATCATGGAGCTCAACTAGAGTGACCATCAGGTTCTTGGTCACCAGTCTAG